AGCATTGGCTGCTCTTGCAGGACACCCGGGTTCAGCAGCGGCACAGTGTCTAACAACCATTCCTAACTCCCGTTACAGGGGATCAGACACCCTCTTCTAATCTCCACAGCCATTGCATGACACAGGTGCACTTACATACAAGTAATGCACTCATACACATAAAATAAAATGAGCAATAAACTATTAAAAAAACAGTTGCCTCCATCTTTGACAACAATAAATAATAATAATAAAAATGAGACTAAAAAAGCTATTATAAGTATTAAATTAGCAAACATCTGTAATGAATAGCGCTTAATGGTCTAACATGTAATAAGACTTTGCTAATAATTTATATGTTAATAAACTGCACACAATTATAACGAAAATTACCCTCAACTCTGAGTAGGAGTCCAATTATTGCTCTACTAAGCCCCAGAGTAATGTATTAAAGTTTCAAATTCTAAGTGATATATTTTTAAAATTTCTAGTACACTGGCCTTAGAAACTCTGTCATAAACCTCCTGATGCCTACAAAGGAAAATAAAAAGATTTTTTTTTAAAAAAAAGCTGCTTATGCTGAGACATTAAAGCTGTCTGGAAGTAGGTCTAAGGGTAAATTCAAATGCAGTACTTATATCCATCCTATGACATAGCATAAAAATGTGTCTAAGCATCTGGTGTTTTTCAAAAAGTTCATGCTCATAACAAGAACTGTTTTAAAAAAACTACAAATATAGTCAATCTGGAGCTTATCTCTGGCTTTAAATCTTCAAAGGACAGCCAAGTCTGTCTCAACTAAATCCAAGAGAACCAATGAGATAGCGCTTATCTTCTCCATGAAGCGCACACAGGCAGCTCATTTGTTCTCAAGCCTTCACTGCATATGGGAGTGGAGGAGCTCAGTGGCTGCTGAGGTTCAGTAAGTTGCTCAAAACTGCCAGAATTCTGCATTTTTATTTAGAAGGACAAAAGGAAGAACATTAGCTTAAGAGTATAGTAAATTATAATTGAACTTCATATATGACAATAAAACTCATAGTAGTATTTTCCCTTTCAAATCCCCGTAGTAATGATCAAGGTATAAATTGGATTTTTATGAAGAACACAAAACAGAACTATCATGTATTGATGCTCAAGGAAAACTGATAACCATCACCTTTTTTGGTACAAATGAGGTTATAACAAACAGAATGAACTTCCCTGCCAACTTGGAGACAATTTCTTTAACTTATTAATGTATACTTTTATACCTTTCTAGAATGTGCACACACAAACACACACACACACTTTATACTTATGTATATTTTCCCCTTAATGGAGCCCATATCAACTTTCAATACCCTTCTTTTGGAATTGGTTTTATGCAATATGTGATATACTTCTTTCTACTTGAGTTTTGTTCTTCTGAACAGTCTTTCAATATGTGGTCCACCTTGGCTTGTAATTTAAGATTTTCCTGCCTCAGTCTCCCAAGTGCTCAGATTACATGACTGTGCCACTTTACTTGGCTCCAATTGACTGCAAAAAATTAAACTACCATACTAAGTCTCCAAAGACTTGGAAATTATTTCCTTTTATGTTTCTAACATTTTTAATATATTTTTGTTATTTTTATTTTATATGTATGAGCATATTGCCTGAATGTATGTGAGTGTACCCATGTCATGCAATGCCATGGAGGTCAGAAGAGGGCATTGGATTCCCCTGGAACTGGAGTTAAGGACAGTTTGTAGCTGCCATGTGGGTGCTGGGAAAGGATCCTGGGTCCTCTTGCAAGGGCAGTCAGTGCTCTTAACCGCTGAGCCATGTTAAGGACATTGTAGCTGCCATGTGGGTGCTGGGAATCGAACCTGGGTCCTCTGCAAGAGCAGTCAGTGCTCTTAACTGCTGAGCCATCTCTCCAGCCCTACTTCTAACATTTTAAAAATTATGTTCATTTGGCCAGGTGTGGTGGTATAGTCCTTTAATCCCAGAACTTGGGAAGCTAAGGCAGGCGGAGCTCTGTGAGTTTGAGGCCAGTCTGTTCTGTATGGCAAGTTCCAGGCCAACCATGATCTCAACTAGATTCTGTCTTAAAAACAGATCAACACACAAACAACAAACAAGTTCATCCTCCAACTTTCACTAATTTGTTGTGATGCTACAGTCTCTCTGCAAATCAACATGCAACTTGAATTCTAGCTGGATACATAGATATTATTCAAAGAAAATGGTGTTATTCAGATTATACTAAATGTTTACAAATGCATCATTCAACAACAAAATACCTCAAGAACCTATTGTGCTTTATATTGTGTATATACATATATTTCTATATACCAGCATTATGATGTATGAGGAACACATTTCTCATTTAAAACGTGGCTACTGATATGCATAGGGGCATTTCAGGCTCAACTTGTATTACTGTTATTTATTTTACCAGGCTTTACAAAGGAAGCGTTTTGACATCATAATATGCAGTCATTTCTTCTCTTTAATATAATTTCTTCATATCACAGGATGAATCTGAGAAATTGAAATATAAGCAAAAGGAACATTTCTATAAATCTCAATGAAGATTAAAATGAGGTTAGAAACATTATGAAAACATATCTGACTTCTCAGCTACACTGTGTTGTTTTCCTTTGGAGAACAAATGAAAATGGAAATTGCATGTATCGAGGAGGTGGAACCACATGATGATGAATACAGGAGTCTCTGCTTGGCATTTAGGCTATGCCTATGGAGAACCCTGCTATAATGAACAACTAGTACAAAATGGGTTATTCCCTACAACCCATCGGTCTGTGAGTAGCTCAGTAACAAAGAATAGATTTCATCCCCCAACTTGAAACTTTGTTTTTTAATCACTGCCTCTCAGACACACAACTCTGGCTTGATGGATAACTGATTCCTAGCCCCTTGTCTCCCAGAAATAGAGATAGCAGCATTGTATTTAGGCTAACAAGCACTCACATGAGACACAAATGGTTTCAACTTCCTCAAATCTAATGAAAATTTTAAGTCAAATATTTTAAAGCAAATATTTATTAAACAATTAAATTCTTACTGAGGTAATCAGTACTACTACTGACATGGGGCTGATAAAGGGGTATTTTAAATAAAATGTCACTGTGCCAATGAAGTGTCAACATACCCCAAATAAATCCTGAAATGTCTTAGTTTTAGACTTCAAATATTTCATGAATTCCATTCAATTGACAAATATTGAATGAAGAAACCCGAGTAATGAATGTTTGCTAGATGAATAGGTGTGTCTCTGAACCCATAAGTGTGGCACCGGGTTACATTTAAGGCAGGCAAACAACGAAGGTTTTTACCATCAATCCTGAAAGAACTTAAACATAAAATGGTACATGGGAAATACACATATGCAGTAAGAAGTAGAGAGTGACATGTGTTTTTTAACGGAGCTGGGACAATGTACTAGGGATGTCTAAGAGAAGGGGCCACAGAAGACCGAGTTTGAAATGGGGCTGAAAAGGCTGTAATGGTTTGGACCTGCGACCTCCAGAAAGAAAGAAAACACGGGAGTACCAGGACAGGACTATGCCGATGCTCTTGATCTGATCTGGAATGGGAAACCAGGGAATATTTGAGAATAGGGAAATGATGGCTTCCAGGTTGTGCATGGAGAAGAGTCATTCGCAGAGACGTGTACACTGAGATGGAAGATGGAAAGAGTGCAGGTAAGGGAATGTACTTCCTGCAGGACCCTGGAGACATGGAGCTGGTGCTTGAGAACAGGCCAGGATTGTGATAAAAGTCTGAGAATCTGGCGATTCTCTTCCTAGTGTTTATACTTGAGACGTCCCTAGGAAAGCTGGGGACCAAGACAGGTTTCTTATTGGAGGGTGATGGAATCAGAACTAGTTCCCAGACTAAACAAACCCACCAGCGTCTGAACCCCAGGCTAAAACAAAAGCAAGATGAAATGACATGTATTTAAAACAGAGTGTCTGGGCCTTCTTCAACCATCATCTTTCTCGATCTAAAGACATTTTGGGGTCCCAGCTTCGAATGTATTTTCATGTCCTGCTCTCTTTTTGAAAAGGTGTTTTCATCTACTTTGTTTTCCCTGAAAGCCCAGTACCTGTCCTGAAGTCAATTATTTTCCTACCTATCAAGAAGCACCCGAGTCAGGAACCTGTGGGGTTGGTCCAGTAATACTGTTTAAGTCCATTGTCTTTACAGTATCTCGAACGGGAGAAAGGGTCTGGCATACCTTATGGCCTGGTCACCAAGGGAGAACTTGGCATAGTTTCCAGCTAGTAAGCAGTCAAGCCAGGGTATGAATAGCGCCCCCGTGGGAATCAAGACTTAAGGCTGCCGCCCACCCATCATTACCCTCAAACCCAGAAAAGCGGGAATGGTCCCCGAAAGGAGCTGGAAGTGCCCAGATTAAAGTCAAAGTCTATCCCCGCAGCTTCTCTTCCAGGAAACACTCTGGGGCCCATTGTTCAGGAGCCACCTCGCCTAGCCCCAGTTCCTGGAGGTCTAGCAGAAAGCCTGGGGTCGCCGAGGGGGTCGGGTAGCTGGAGAGACCCGCAGCTTGCAGCAGAGCAGCCGGGAAATCCCGCAAAGCCACGGGAGAGTCCTGGCGGGGCGTCCCAGGGCTTCCCCCGCGGAGTGTGCGTGCAGTGGCCGCGGGGCTGTGGACCCCTTTCGGCTGCAGCCTGCTAGGAGCTGCGCCAAGAGGCAGGTGGGTGTGGAGCAGGGACCAGAGGCAGCCAGAGGGAGGTGCCGGCCCGGCGAGGTGTGGGCGGTGCCCGATCGCCCGCGCCCGGGCCGCGCCCTGGGCACCGGGGGCGCTGTCGCCCGCCTAGCGCTCCGCTCGGGCTCGGGAGGCCAAGCCCGGCGTTGCCCCTGCAGCGCAGCCCTGCTGCCCACCGCGGGAGCCGCGATCGCCCAGGAGCCGCGGGAGAAGGAGGCAGAGCAGGCAACGGCGGCCGCTTCAGCCTGCGGGTGCGCGGCGCGCAGAACGCGGAAGGCTAGGCTGGGTGGCCGAGGGCGAGCGCGCCGGGCCAGCGAACTGCGGGGCGGAGACCCGGGCGCCCCGCCTCACCTCCCGGGCGCAGGCGGTCGCGGCCGCTCCACAGACACACACCCACCGAGCACCCACCGAGCATCTACCCAGCACCCACTGAACACCCACCAGCACCCGCCGCCCCCGCCGGCCGCCGCCGCCGCGCCTCGGGCAGCAGCAGGAGCGGCCAGTCCCGGGCTAGAGCGGCGCGCGGAGCCCCGCTTGATCTTCCCTTCTCTCCACTCCAGCCTTCTCTGGTCTGGGCGGCGGCAGCAGGGGGATGGGGGCCCCGCGCGGGGAAAGGGGGTGAAGATCGATGGCGATTTTTGTTCTTTTTAAAGGATGCCTTAGCTTCCTCCAGCCGCCTCTTCTGTGAGCCTTCCCGCTAGAGAACCAGACTGAAGGATGTAAAGAGACAGAAAGCCGCCAGGAGCTCCAGCCAGCCGGGAAGACCTCCTCTCCGCGGAGGGGAGGGGGATTTCCAGCGACACTTCATTGGCGAAGGGGACCGTCGCAGGGAGAGGAGCCCCCAGAGGGATCAGGGAATCCCACAGCTCTTTGTGGCGCCCGAGCCCGAGCCTGTGCCGCCGGCTGAGCGGGGTCTAGGGGAGCTAGGTAAGTGGACCGGGCTTTGCTGCTCCGGGAGGGGTCTTCTTTAAGGATGCGACGTCTAGGCAGCCTAGCCAGACTCGAGTTGCCAAAGGAACTGGAAACTGCCATATGGCGCCCAGTCAACTTACACACAAACCTGACTTAGCCCTGACCAGGTTATTAATGCAAGGCTCCTTCCCAGTGGGAAAGGCACGCGAGTGTGAGCCTCTGAAAAGCCCTCCAAACAGCCTGGCTGGGAACCGATGGGAACTGTTGTATGTAGGAGCGGAGCCCTTGTTGCCTTCTGTTCATTTGTTGGTAAATGCTACACTTGCACGCACACACTTGTGGGACTGGACTTAGGGAGTGTGATGTCCCCGGTGTATGCACAGTCCTCAAAACACAGAAACATGCAGGCATTTGATTCCTCCAGGGTGCGCGGTCTTGCTTCTGTATGTAGCAAGGCTCCTTAGAGCCAGAGAGAACAGGTCTCTAAGGGATGAGCTCCAAGGCTGTTTCCAACACACTCTTCCAAGGGGATTTGGGAATATAGTTGCCCTGAATGGCACCAAAAGACACCCACCATTTGCCTCATCATTTGCTCCCCCAGGCTTAATGACCTTTTCCAAGATAGTATGCTGCCATCCATTTTTTCAAATTAGGAGCAGTTATGTGTATCCATTCATAAAAAGTGTCACTGTGCAATGTACGTAAACATGCCATTTATGACCACACAAATGTTTTAACAGTAAAAATAATAAATACAAGATTAATACTGGAAAATGTAATATGCCCAGATGTACACTGGACTGATTTCTCTCAGGTTCAACATTTCTTCTAATCAAGTCATTATGCAATCATGTCAATATTTTAATAGCACTTTACATTTCTATTTTTGTATTGATTGGTTTAGGGATTTGGTTGGCAATCTGATTTTTTTAAAGCCCAGCTCAAAGGAAGAGCAAAGATTTTAGTGTTATTGTTTTAAAATGTCTAGTATTGTGTGGGACAGACATCTCTTGGCTTATTATTCAGTAAGTAGCATCAGCCTAATCAGTACATTTCATAGAACTAGCAAATGATAATTTTGCTAATATCAGAAGTCTTAACTGCTAGTACTGAAAGATTTACAAGAATTTTAACAAGAAAATAACATTTAAAAATTATATATATCTATATAATAAAGTTTTATCTGTTTTACTCTTTCGATGTATGTGGGGGGTGTATTGATAGATATAAAACTGTCCCAAGCTTATCTTGTAATAGATGAATAAACCCTACTGACATCTAGGTTAAAGAGCTCTGTTTTTAAATTAAGCTAAACTCATACAGCCCAGTAGTTTGGCCTATTATGCATATATTTGTGTATTTATTTGCTGCTTGAGGTGTTGTTTTTAATGTAGGGCTTATTTGTGTAGTTACACAGATTCTGAGACTATTGACGGTCCAATGTATAAATAGCTCCCTCCTCCTCCCACTGAAAGCAAAGTATCTTAGTCAAATTAAAATGTTAATATGCACCCACAAAGCCAATCCTTTGGTCTCTTCCCTCATGAGGTGCCACAAGATTCTAATGTAAACTCCTTTTGCTGGCACTACTCAGACTTCTGGAGACAGAAATGCATCTCTTGGCAGTTCTCTAGGCTTTCTTGCTCCTTCAACCTTCATCTTCCCTTCCTAGGTTAGCACCCCCAAATCTCCTCTTACACAACCCTTACACACACACACACACACACACACACACACACACACACACACACTGCAGAACAGGGGTCTTGGACCAGCCACCTTAAGTTCTAATCCTCACATTGTATTCTACTTGTTCTCTTTTCTTTTTCTCTTCTTCCTTTTTTTTTTTGTCTGAAGAGAATGCACACATCTTTCAAAGCTATTTCCAAATTCACATTTTTCCACACCCTCAGTTTAGTTTTCCACGCATGCTTGTTTATTAAATATTCAAATTTAGATTAAACTACTGGGAATGAGTACCTTGTCTAATGCTTTTTGTTTGGCTTTTAAAACTTCCTTGTTGATGACATGGGTCAACAGAAGACATGAGCCTGCCCTTCTAGGGCGTTAAACGGTGAGATTGCTAGAAAAAATGTAATTTCAGAATATTCAGGAAATTTCGAGGCATAGTTGGTCAGGTTTTTTAGTACATCCATTTGCAGGTATACAGAGGTATAAATCCCTGGAGCACTGAAAAGTATTTTTTCTTGAGAAAAAAATATGTGACATTTTGAACAGGTCTTATAGAGAGTCCACTATACACATATACATATTATGAAAGTAGAACATATTACTGACAATCTAGGAAACTCATAAGATATATTTAATTATTCCCTAATCCATGTTTTTCTTTGATTGATTCCTTAAATTTTACTATCTCTTATTGATTAATTCCTATGGAAATTCTTAAAGTTGATAGAAAATTTCCTCCTGTGCATTTTAAGGTAAATATATGCGGTTAAGTAAGATTTGCTTGTATTCATCAAGTGGAATTTGCATAAAAGCATGATGCCTATTAATTTCATAAAATATTAAGAGAGTAGAGAGTACAGATGTGTTATATGTGAGTTCTTTTAAGTTCAGACCATTTTTGAAATTAAGACTTTATGATCATATTACTCCCAGAACGATAAAATAAACTTTGTAGAGCAGAGCAGTTTTAAATTTTAGTCACATACTAGAAGTACATCATAGTCTAAATCTACAGTCCATTCTTTTTTATTGCTTATTTCCCCCTGTGCTTCAAAGATGTATGCTCTCCGCAGTTTTTTACCAAAGTTTAGGCTGTGAGGCAGAAAGTCAAATGTGTCAGAAGGAGTCCTTTGACCTTTGTGAGCCAAGTTTTCCTGTGTCCTCTTTAAAGCGCTATTTCCCATAGTCTGAATCATATCCATCCTTACTTTCAGATTTAATGTTTTAGAGGCACTCACTAAGTAGTTCATTAATTTATGCATTACTTATTAAATACGTATAAGAAGGTACTTGATTAGAATGTAAAAGTGCCAAAGGTATAAAAAACAATGGCTTCCCTCAGAGTTTTTATAATGTAGAGAATAAAAAAAATGCTCTTGAACTTATTGGAGAATCACAATTTTAGTTCACAGTGAGAGCTCTCCTGCATTCAGAAACGAGTTTAACAATTTCACACTTAATAAGTCAATCAAGACAAATTCATTAACATTTGTCACAGGTTACACATTTGGGAATTCTCAGAAAACATCATTAATACCAGCAACACTAAATTTTATGAAATATTTCCTTTTAGATTAAGAATATTTTCATTATAAATTAGAGCATTTATATTATTTTCTTTGAATAAATATAATAATTCTTATATCCAACACTTACATGAGGCAGGTGCTGCCTTAAGCGTTTTGCAAATACTAATTTTTCATTCTCACAGCCACATTATGCCAGTCACCAATGACTTTTATAATACAGATGTGAAAAGTAGTGTTCAGATACCTTTCTTTCCTACAGTCACATAGGAAGGACATGGAGAGGTCTAGCTGGAAGCCAGTGTTTTGGGTTCAGGAACCCTGAAATTACTATAATTTTAGGGAAGATGAAGGATGGTCACAGATAGAAGAAGAAAGGTATGAGCATTTCCAGGATTTATTTGGAGCTCATCTTCTCACTAAAGGAGGGCATGATTATCAGGAAAAGTGGATGCTTAAGAAAGGCCAAATATGAGGACTTTATTTTTATTTGAATAGGAGGAAACCCACAAATGGTCCACATGAATCTGAAATAAGAAAATAGTTATTAGCTAGAGGCTGATTTTCAAACTATGGTGGGCTTTCCTAAGGAATCTGACATGTTAGAAAGCACCCTGCTTATTATGACCATTAAAAATGGCTCAGCTGGTAACACTCTTGCCTTTTAAGCACAAGAGTCTGAATTTGAGTTCCAGAACCCACATAAAAATGCTGGGCATGGTAGTGTGTGCTTATAGTGGAGAGGCTGAGACAGGAGGAGCCCTGGCCAGCCATGCTAGCCCTTTAACATTTTCATCAAGAAAACTTAAATAATATTTGAAACAAAGTTCTTTCTAAGTAATTACTGCTCCTGTTTATATAGAAAATACCATCTGGATTAAATTTGAAAGAAAAAATGATTAAATATTGCTTGTAAGATGCCATAGAATCAAATATTTGGATTCATCTTCATGATTGATTGACACTTTTATTTTTCACATAGATCCTATGTCTCATAGGCTTAATGTTTTAGTGTAACCAACTTTCAACCTACAATTAGCTTGTAGAATAAAAGTTCACTTTAAACCTTATACATTCTCATGAAAACAGAGCTTTAAGTGATGTTCACATCCTCAGACAAATCTACCAAATCCATTTCAATCAATAATATACTTGAAGTATTGTACTGTTAGTAATAACACCACCAGGACCATTATCCCTAACAATATTCCTGGGGAATGGTTCATTTAAATAATGCACATTGCCTTCTTGTCCAAGACTCTGGGATACAAACAGGATGTAGTACCAGCCAGGCCCACAGGGAGGAGGGAAATGAAGAGAGTTGAGCACAAGAAGCTCTGATACTAGGCCACATAAAGAAAGCTTTATAAGATTGGTATAGGCAAGGCACTGAATAATTGATTCACAGTTCTAGCCCAAGAGCCAGAAACTGCATACACCCTTAGGATTCTCATCTGATGCTTCTCCCTGAAGGATTCTACCCAGCTCCTCCTCTGTGCTGAGTCCCACAAGGATAAGATGTTATGCACTCTCAGTCCAGAGACTTACACAAATAAATCCTGACAACATATCATAAATGTTATTGGTGGGTGGCCTAGAAGTTCATTTGAGTAGCTGTATCATAGAAGGACTCTGGCATAAGGAAATATAGTTGCTTTAAGTTCTTCCATATATTTAGAGCCATGATTCTGTCTCAGTTAGATCAAGTGCCCCCTTTTTATAGGCAGTATTTTGCAATGTCCCTTTTGCTTTCCTGAAATATTTATATATATATAATATAACCTATCTGCACATGCA